CGTCTTTTAATATTAAATACACACATCCATCACAATAGATATATAGTTATAAATATTTTATAAAATAAACAAATAAAAACTATACACAACACCTACCAAAACCATCATTAAAATATATTTTTACATCATCGCCCATCAAAATATATACATAAATAATTTATTTAAATATCAAGCATCATTTTTTTATTTATATAAATATTTTTTTTTTATATTTAAATTAAAAATAAAATTAATTTTTTTTTTTATTTAATAATTTATATAAATAAATATAATTAAATATATAATTAAATATATAAATAAATAAAAATAAATATATTAATTATTATTTAATCATAATAAATTATTATTATTTTTTATAAATCGTCATCAAATATTTTAATAAAAATTCATAACTTTTTAATATATAATATTTAATATTAATTAATTAAATAATATAATTTTATAATTATATAAAATTATAAAATAAAATAACAATAATAAATATTTAACAAAATAAAAGAAAAAAAAAAAAAGTAATAATAAAAAATTATTTTTACAAAATAAAATTATTAACTATTTTGGTTAATTTATAAAACAATGAATAACCGTAATTCTAATATTAATAATAACTCTATTGTATCATTAAATAATAAAATTATACCATTAAACCCAACAACAAAATGTATTGATTGCGGTAAAACTAATAGATCTATGTAAGTAGTAAAATATATTTTATACAATGGTGTAAAAAGATAAATTTATTTTTAAAAATAATTAAACAATTTATTTTTTAATAATAATAAATTTATTTTTTTCTCCTTCCATATAATTTTTATTTTTATATTGAAATTTATTATTAACACATCTTTTTTTTTTTACCATTTCTATCTTCTTTATTTTTATTTATCCACCAATTAGTTGTTCAGGTTGTATAGATAAAGATTTAAATTTATGTAAAAATTGTCATCAAGTTTTTCTTCATGGTGATATCAATAACAATAACAATAACAATAATAATAACAACATGAATTGTAATAAAAGTTGCGAAAAGATATATAATAATGATCACAAAAATAATGATAGCACTCAATCACATACACAATCATATAACAATAGTTTTATTGGTAGTCCAAATGCAAGTTCTTGCTCAACATATGATGAATTCGATTATCAAGATTTAGCAATGGAAGAATACGAGACCTATTATTTTTTCGATTATCACTTTGATAATATATCCCGTAATAGATTATTTACATGTCCATATTTAAATTGTTTAAAAGAAGGTTTTAATGAACATTCTTTAGCTTTGCATCTTTTAGAATGTCATGAAGAAGAAAACTTACTAAATACCTATGTAGTTTGCCCATTCTGCTCCTATAGATTCAAAGATGGAAAGTTTGTAGAGCACATCAAAGAAAACCATTTAAATATCTATCAAGATTTTAATAATGATAACCACCATTTAAATCACCACAATAATAATGATAAAAATAATAACAGCACAGATAATTTAGTATCATAAAAAAAATATTTAAAAAACTATAAACAAATCATCTTTTTTTTTAATTCTATTAATATTATTATTAAAAAAAAAAATAAAAAAATTATTTATGTAAATAAATTTAAATTTTGTCGTTTATTAATTTATTTGTTTAACCTGTTTTAATAACGCCCATGCTCTTGCTGATGTGTTAATAAAATTAATTTCGTTGCATTTTAAAACCAAACCTTCTATATCGCTCTTCATTAAAATAAACTCTAAGGTAGTTGGAATATTTTTAGAAAATATATCTTTTAATATTGGGAAGTTTGAAATAAATTGCGAGGTTGATTCAGGAACAATTGGAGCTGATAAATTCAAATCGATTTCGCCATCACTGTCTAAATCTTTTTGATCTGCACCGTTTCTATCTCTTTTTTTGCTATTAATTTCAGGATTATTTTTTGCTATTAAAATCTCTTCAAATTCCCTTTTTTTTTCCATTGATGGTTTTTCATATGAAAATATTATTTTATTATTGATTGAAAACTCTTTAATTTTCTTTAAAATCCTATAAGCAAAAAATAAATAAAAAAAAAGAATTATTAATATTAAAATGGATAAATAAATAAATAAATAAATAATAATTACTCTTTTGATAAGTTGAAAATACTTAATATTGTTGAATCTTTTTTAATTATTAGCTTTTTTGGAATTGTACCATCATTTATTTCACATTCTAAAATACCATTAAATAGAAATTGTTCATATACTTTTGGAATACATACACAACCAATACAATCTCTTGAACAGTTTATACACTTGAATGATAATTCTAACTTTTCGATTTGAAGTATATCTGCAACAACCCTATAATGTTGGTCTAATGATTTCTTATTTATATCTGATAATTTGGTTGGTGGTATAAAATCAAATAAACTGAAATCCTTTTCTTCTTCAAGAATTTGATAATAAAAGAATCTATTTGAATGACACAAGTAATTTGATTTACCATTGTTACTCTTGAGTTTATCACTAATATTATTATTTTTATTGCCAAATTGTAGATTTTCTTGAATTAAACTAAAAGTTGATTTGGTTTGAAGGAAATAAAATTCAATTATTGAACCAATAGTCATACCATAGTAATAGTTTTCAATTGAAATGGGAAGGAAGTGTTTACCAGGATAATTGGGATCAGTACAAACAAGATGGGTAACAATAGTTTTATCTTGACCTCCTTTTTGTGTTGTAGTAATAGTTTCTTCAATTCTTTTTGAAACAATTAAACCCTTGAACGATACAAAATCATTCTGTGTAACATTATCACCATTATATATTTCTTCAATTGATTTAAATTTGACAAAACTATTGGAGTTTATATTTGAAATATATTTTGCTGTTTTTCTAAAAAAACTTTTATCCCTTATTAAAATTTGTGGTATAGTATATTGTGAAAACTTTCTTGATTTTAAAGTAGATGGCAAAACAACAAAACCACTTTTATCTATATAATATATCAATGCAACACTTTTTAAAATTGCTAAAAAAGAAAAAAATAAAGAAAAATTAATATTTTATAAATATTTTAAAACTAATTAAAATAAATTTATACATACAACTTGCACTTAAACTAAAGCTATAAATATCTGACTGTAAGCTATTATTTGGTATTGCTGATGGTGATGGTGATGCTTTATTATTATTTGTTATTGGTTTAAATAAAACCCCGCTTAAGTAATAACAACTACCTTTTTGAAGTATTGGAAAATTAATTTTTAATGATGATGCTGTATAAATTAAAACTTTTGGTAATGAAGGTATTAGTAAAACTGCAGTTAAGGTAATTAAACCAGCCTCGACAGTTTTTTCTAATAATAATATAAATAGATTTAAAGTTTGATTTAATAATTGTTTTTGTTCTTTTTGTTGTTGTTCTGATAGTTGGTGATTGGTAATTGTTTGATCTTGAATATCTAAAACTTTTGAAATATTAACTTGGAATTGATCAAATAATAGTTGGAATGGTAAATTGTTGTAGAATAGTGTTTTATTAAGCATTGGTGATAATAGATCGCAATCATCCATCGAAAACTGAATATAATTGATTGATTTTATTTGTTTATTTTCTTGATAATCTTCAAATTTAATTAAAAACTTGTTAATTTTCCAAATTTTATTTAAATGATACTCGTTAATATCTTGAACAAAACAATCTACTGATGTATTTGAATCGATTTTTAATGAAACTTTACCCCATTCAAAACCTCGTGGTGATACCTCTAATAGACCAACCAAGTGATAATCCTTTGAATTATTGAATACAATGGGTGATTTATTTGATTTTAATGTTGATAATTTCGAGAGATTTAAAAGTTTAAAATTTTGAACTGTATCTTCAACATAAGAATCACACTTGCCGTCACTGTGCGATAAAATATGGTCATATTTTTTTAAACTGCCTTCATTATTTAATTTTGGTATACCAAATAAATTTGCAATATTTTCATAAATTGGTTTATTTAGAAACTAAAAAAAAAAAAATTAATATTTTATAAAAAAAATTATTTTAATAAAAAATATAACTAACTTACCATTGTTTTAAATTGTTCTAATGAACCAAAAACATCTGGAAAATTATTTTGCAGTTTTAATAAAAGTTTAGACAAAGCAAAACAATTTACAATCGAATATTTTTTCCATAAATCTGAAAAGCTTTGATTTTCGCCCAACAAAGTAGATTTTGAAAACGGAATATGATTGAATAAACGAGTATTATCGAACTTTGTAAATTTGAAACTACTTGATTGGCACATTGCAACACCAAGTAATCTTGAACCATGGTATATAGGATGAACATTAAAAAGTGCAATTTTAGTACCAATTCTAAAGCCTCTTGCATGGAATAAGTGTGAACGATAGTGTGATAAAAATAAAATACCATCTCTATCAATACCAATAGTACCAAAGTGTGAATTTAATTCTTGAGTTATTTCTACCAAACAATTTATAAAACTTGGTAACTTTTCGTTTAAATAGTTTAAATTATAATTTAGATATTCAAGTATAGGTTTGTTGTTAGGTTGAGAAAATTGTAGTTGTTTTTTATATTGACTATTAATATTATTATTATTAATATTATTATTACTATTACTATTATTACTATTATTATTATTACTTTCAATTAATTTATTATTATTTACTATTGATTCTAAATAAAAAAATGACTGTTCTAAAATTTGGTATATTTTTGTTGAATTATTTATAATTATAACATTTTGTTTAGTTTCTGTATTTTCCAATGAACTTTGAAAACCAACGTTGCAAAATAAATAACTATTACCAATATGAAATAGATTAAAATATTTTAATGAGTCACCCGAAAATAATAAAAAAATTTTAGATTTCCTTTTCTCTTGTTCATTTGTAGAAGCTATATCTATAATTTGAATAAAAAATAATGTATGGACTTCATTTTCTTTATTTGTTGTAGCCTGGGTATGTGGTATCGCTGATTTTGATAAAACTGTGCCATAAACATTAATAGATTGTAAAACCTGGTCTTGTAATTGATTTAAGCTCCTAATAGACTGATATGGTTGGTTTTGATCAATAATATACATTTCTAATTTCTGATTACGTGTTGATGATAACTCTGCAGGTGAAATAAATTGGGATTGTTGGAGTAGGGAAACTTTAAATTTTCTAATCATCTCCTCGTAATAATGATCAAAATTTCTATAAATGATATAAATGTTGTCAACTTCAATGTAATTTGATTTTGAAATATCAATTCTGACTGTATTATTACCAACATTATTTATATCTAATAGTGATAGTCTTGATTGCCTTGACATTGACATTGATAATAGAGATGGTGTTTCTTTTTTTGATGATGGAGAAATGCAAATTAAATTAAAAAACGGTATGAATGCTATACTGTCTAATAGATAAAACTGAGTTTGTGTAATTTCCACTACTATTTCACCAGTACTATCTTGTAGAGTTAATATATGACGATCACTAACTTGATTAGATTGAATTGATGAAACCTTTCCAACCAAGATTCTTAAAATTTGATTTTCAGAAACTGAGCTTTTTGATGATAAATTTCTATTTCTATTTAAAATATCTGATATAGTTAATAATCTTGAGCTTATTGGTAATCTTTCTTTTATATTATTTGAATTATTATTTCTATTTCTATTATTATTGTTATTATTGTTATTATTGTTGTTTAAAAATAAATTATTATCTAGAACAAAACCTAATAAATTATAAATAATTCTATGTATATCTTTTTTTGGTACAATAGACTCTAATGCTAAATACATTGAATTTGAAATATGAAGCAGCCATATTTTTGCTCCAGCTGAAAATGGAAATGTTTCTAATGTAGAGTTTTCTTTAAATGTTGTTGATGTTGTTGATATATTTGATTTATTTTTGGACGGCGAATGTGATTTTGTTTTTGATTTGGATTTTTTTGGAGTACCATGGCTCTTATTGATTGGGTGGATGGGTGTAATTGGAGTTGTTAAATTCAACACATCTGGCTCTAATATAGGTGATATATTTTGAAACTTATCATTCGGTGCTATCGTCGATTGGTCTGTCTTGACTGAAATTAAACTATTATTAATGTTATCAAAAAGGCCTTGTTGGTGGCAAATTAAAAATCTTCTTATCTCTTCAAGATAAAACTCTTTAGAAATCCCTGGTTTTGTTTGTGTGGTCAATGATATATTTGATATTGATGAAATATTTGATGTTGCAGTAGAATTCATCATAGAATTATTTAGAAATGTTGATGTTGATGCTGATACTGATAATAATGATCTATTTTGTAAAGTATATTGATTAATATTTTGAATACTGCTATATCCTTCATTTACTTTAATTTTTTTATTATTGTTATTATTGTTATTATTGTTATTATTTGTTAGGGGCAATGAATTTTTATCTGCATCATCGTTGAATCTTTTCATTTTTATTTATTTATTATATATATAATAAATATTTCGATGCTTATTTCATGCAGTGATAAGTTATAAAATAAAAATAAACAATATCGGTGTCAAATTATGAAAAAAAATTATATTTTTAAAGTAAAAAAAAATGAAAAAAAAAAATAAAAAAAAAAAAAATTTTATTTTTTTCATTTTTTTAATTTATTTATATTATTCTTTATATTATAATAATTGATTTAAAATGGAACAATAATTAACAATAAAATAATAAATAATAAAACAATAAAAATAGAACCATTTACCTAAAAAATTAATTATTTTTTATTTTATTTTAAACTTCCAAAAATAGTTGCTTTTATCTAAAATAATACATAATGTTATTTTTAAAATAATTACAGATATCATAAAAATAATTGAAAACAACCCTTGACCCACCTATTGGAAAGATATATCCATAATTGGAACTGTATTTACAAGCAATTGCGGCACCAGTCAAATCAACATCTCTATCAGGTAAGCATTTGAAATTTTCCTTGGATGTCGGATCATTTTCACATTTATCATTGTCATAAACGGATAGATAGTAACCTTCGTAGATAGTTTCATTTCTTGAAATTTTTACATTACCCAAACAATTAGATTTGCAGCTATTCAACTCAATCTCTTCTAAACATGATGGACCGCTTTCGACTATGAAAGAAGAATATTCGATTGGTAACGTTGACTCTTGGCACTGAACCATTACATATCCCTGTGTGAACGGCTTGGAACTATTGCAGTTAATTTGACAGCTTTCAATGACTTCTCCCGAACATGTCTCGTCTGTATGGTAATAAACATATAGTCTGTACTCGTCCTCTGCAGAACTATAGAGAACTTGCATCCTTGCATTACAAGATCTAAATGGAGCACACTCATCTAGATAAACAATTTTTTCCTCTGTGCATCCGTTTATAGAGAATTGCCTATATATTTGGCAATATGCATTTTTAGCATATAATATTAAAAATAAAATAAAAAATATTAATTTCATTTTTATAAATTTTTTAATTTATCATTACCGATATATATATTTTAATTATATGGGAAAAAATAAATATTAAATTATTAATTAATTAATTAATTAATTATATTTTTTTAATTATTTGTTTTATTATAATAATAAATATTTAAAATTTTGTAAACTAAAAAAATTAAAGTTTTTCAATGGGGTGGGGTTATGAGTTTTTACCACACAACCAATGAACACGTGGGTTAATATCAAAAAATTTAAATTTCGAAAATGTAAAACTTCAAATCATAAATAAAATATTTTATTTATTTTTATCATTTATAAAAAAAAAAAATAGTATAAAATTATTTTTTTTAAAATGAGGAAAATGAAATTGCAAACTATTACAACTCATATAAATGACACATGAGTTGTAATATATTTATTATAAAGCTATTAGAAATCTTCATTTATAATCTTTAACCTTTTAGATAAAGACTCTGGTATTGGATGTTGATAGGATTTATTATATAAATAAATTAGAGTAACTGATTGAGGAATAGTATTTGATTCTAGAGGTTGATCATAGTAACGACCAAGGGTTAATTTAACGAGTGATTCTGGTAATACACCTACATGAAGAGGATAATTATAATGATCAGATAGAGTTAAACTAACAACTGAATTGGGAATTAAACCGATTGAAAGTGGTTGTAAATTATCTGATTTAAGTAGTAGGGTTTTAACTGATGGTGGAATAGAATTGATTTCGAAAGAACTTGGACCATTGAAATTACAATAAAGTTGTGTAATCGATGATGGTAAATCATTTTCTAATAAAGTACTTTTATTATTTAATGTTAAAGTTTCTAAACTATTTGGTAATAAATGATTACCAAGGGTGCAATTATATGAATTTAGAAATAGGGTTTTTACGTTGGGAGGTATTGATTGTGGTTCTAGTTGACAGTTAAAAACTATAAAGTTTAGATTCGTAATTGAAGATGGAAGTACATTTGGTTTTAAAGTTTTATTATATGAACTTAAATTTAAAATCTCAATAGAGTTTGGTAACTCTCCATTTGATAAATCTTGATTGAAATAATATAGTTTTAGTATTTTTAATGATTTTAATGATGAAAAAGAATTTGAAAGTGGTTGATTAAAATCACTAAGGTACAATTCAATGATTGTTTCTGGAAGTACACCATGTGGTATTGGATGATTAAAACGGTTAAGCTCCAATGTTTTTAATTTGGGTGGAAGAGTTTTTGGTTTTAATGGATGAATGTACTCACATAGTGAGAGTTTATGGCATGTTTTTGGTAAATTTTTTGGTTTTAAAGGTTGATTAAAGGAACCTAAAGATAATTCTTCTACAGAACCAAACAAACCTGGTTTTATTGCACTGTTAAAGCCAGATAGATTTAAACAAGTTAAAGACTTTGGAAAAATGTCGGTACCCAATCCTAGATGTGCTCGAATTTTTAAATTGGTGAGAGAAGGTGGTAACATATTTGGGGTGAGTAATGTATCATTTAAATATATTACTAATTTTATAACACTTGATGGTATGGTCGATTTAATATCTATGGGCTGGGTGTAATTTGAACCAAAATATAAGCAAGTTACTGTATTTGGAATATCACCTGCTTTGATTGGTTTATTAAAATTTTTAACAAAATGTATTTCATTTGTTCCATAAGGTATTGTTTGACCATGTGGTTCTAATGTTTCATTAACAGTAAAAATTAATAAAGATGTATATCCTCTATGTGGATGATATCTAAGTTGATCCATTGATTGATTAATTTTTATTATTTTATTTTGTATATATAACCTGTGATGTCTTTGTATTTCGCTTAATAGATACTTGTTTCTCCACACTAAAAAAAATAATATTTCATTTTTATTATTAACTATATCTGTTTTTGTAATTGATTGTAAATTATGTGTGTGATTATAACCATTATTTCTATCTATTCTATAATTATTATTAATCATTTTAATATTTATTGGTTGATCGAAAATTTTGCTTTAATTATTTATTAAAAAAAAATTAATTTTTATGAAAATAAAAATCTAAAAAAAAAAAAAAAAAAAAAAATATAATTTTTTGAAAACCTATTAAACAGTACCTTATTTTTACCTAACATTGCTTTAAAAAGTGTTTCCTTATAAAATATTAATAATGTTTAAACGCTACCATTAAAATAGTGTTCAGTAATAATAATTTATGTGGGAACACTGTTTAAAAAACTTTGCTTTAAAAAAAAAAAAAAAAAAAAAAAAAAAAAAAAAAAAAAAAAAAAAAAAACCCCTGTTTAAATCCCTTAAACAGGGTTTTCCTATAAATTATTATTACTGAACACTGTTTAAAACAAAGTTTAGCAACGTTACCATTATTTTTTTTTTTTTTTAAAAGTGAAGACGTTACCATTAAATAGTGTTTGTTTTTTTTTTTTTTTTTAAAGTGGATTTTTTAAGCAAATACTTTAAATTAATTTTTTTTTTTTTTTTTAAAAGTGAAGTTAATTAAAAGAAAATGCTTTAAATTAATCAATAAAAAACAATGTTTCAGAAACCTTACAATTTAACAGTGTTTCTTTTTTTTTTATTCCAAGAAATAAAAAAATTAAACAGTGTTTCTTTTTTTTTTTATTTCTTGTAATAAATCACCCGAAAGATAAAATCATTTTAAAAGCTCCCCATTCGGGAATCGAACCCGAGGTACCAGTGTGAAAGACTAGAGTGTTACCGACTACACCAATGAGGATATTAGATGAGATTTTTATTTAGTGTTTTTGCTAGGACTGAAAAAAAAATTTTGATAATAAAAAAAAAAATTTCAAATTTAGTAACACAAATAACTATATAAAATATATATTTGAATATTTAAAATAAAATAAAATAATTTAAACCAAGCTTGGTTTATAGTTTTTTGTTTTTTTTAACAGTTTTTTCAATTTCTATTTTAAATAATTACAATATATATATATGTATATTTCCCATAAAATTTTTTGTATAAAATATTACAATAAACTAAAACAAAAGAATTTATCTTTTTAAATTTTTTCCTTTGTTTTTTATTTATTTGGAATAAGTTTTAAAAAAAAAAATTTCGGTTATGTTACAAAAAAAAAAAAAAAAAATTTTATAAAAAAAAAATTAAAATTTTTTTTTTTTTTTTTTGGTTTTTTTTTTTTTTAAAAAAATTTTTGCATAAATTTATTTTTTCGAAAAAAAAATTTTTCATTCGTCAAAATCAATTTTGGTATGTAGTAATATTTACAAAAAAAAAAAAAATTTAGAGTCTTTCTTAAATTATGTTATATGATGATTCCCTAGATTCGTGTTTCTGATTACACCCTGATTACAAACTTCACTCTTCGGAGTGTTTCTGATTTAACATAATTTATACAAACAAAATATTCAAAATTTTTTTTATATAAATTTTTAAAAACACACACTAATGGATCTTTTTTTTTTTTAAAATAGGTTTCTTGAACGTTTTGCTCTGAGTCTCTTTCTGAATCTTCTTTCTTTTGTTGGCCTTCTTATCTTTTTCGTTTTATTTTTTTCTCGGTTTTATTTTTTTTATAATTATTTATAAAAAAAATTTAAACACAATAAAATTAATAAAATAAAAGTAATAAATTCATTACATTGTAAAAAAAAAAAAAACTTTTAGAAGGATATCCTTTTTTTATTTATTCTTTTTTTTTTATTTATTCTTTTTTTTTTATTTATTTCTTTTTTTTTTTTTTTCATTTTAATTTTTTTTTTTTTTTATTGTTATTTTTAAAATTTTTTTTTTTTTCATTTCATTTTTTTTTAAATTAAATAATGATCAGAATACAAAATTTAAATAAAATTTCAAATAATTCGAAATTATTCATCCTTTCGAGATCAATAACTAATTGTAATAATAATAATAATAATAATAACGAAGCACTTCAATATAATAAAGATAAAATAATAAAGTTAAACAGTATAAATGACCACATCAGCAAACCAAAGTTTTCAAATAAAGTATTCGATGTTGTAGAAAATTTTAGTAATTATATAAAGACAAAAAAGATATTTAAAGATCCAGATTTCATTAAAGAGGTTGTAGATACTCATGATACAGAATTACCAAATCTTTTCCTAAAGTCTCAGCTTTTTTCAAAGTTTTTAAATTTAAAAACAATTACTGAACTAATAACAGACAGTATAAAAAGAAATAAAGATCCAAAAGTTTTGGCATTATGGTTTCAAGTTGGTTTAAAATATGAATTGATTACAAATAAAAATGGAACTAAATTATATAACCAAGTGTATAAAGAATTGTTATCAAAGGGATCGCACGAGTATATAGTCGATTTCAAATTATTTTTAATTGAAAATAACTTTCAAGAACCAGATTCAGTTATGGAGCCATTCTTTTTAAGTAACTCTTTTAGCATTGAAGCAATGTACAATTATTATCAAATTTTAAAATCAAAATCATTGAATACAGAATCATCAGATATGCAAATGATAAGCTCATTATTAAAAACATTCGACATTGAGTTGGAATATAATAAAAGGGTTATTCCAGAGGTTATAGAATTATATACAGGTGATACAAATACAATAATGAAAAGAATACTGTCCTCACTAAAAGATCCATTATTAATCAAAGAAAATAGTAATAATAACACTAATAACAATGACAATAATAATATTAATAAATATAATATTTTAAAAGAGTTTTTATTATCAAAAAATTCAATAGAGATTTATAATTCAGTTTTAGATCATTTCAAAACCGCACCAAAAGCATTTAATATATTTTTTAAATTATATACCAAAGAGTTTAGGAAAGCACCATCAAAATTAAAACCAAATAATGAAACTCATTTAATATTATTCAAGAATTTTTGTATAACTAGAGACTCTGAAGTTATAGAGTTTTTATCGTCACTCTCAGACAAGATAGAACTAGATGAAACAGAGATCACCAGTATTCTAATAAAGGTTGAAGTTATGAATGGTAACTATAATGGAGCCTTTGATCTTTTTGTAGATATGCACGATAAAATTAGAATTAACCCACAAGATATAAAGTTTTTAATTAGTCAGAATCAATTTAATCCATCTTGGGGAAAACTAAAATCAAAGTTTAACATTGACTCGAGTTATTTTGATTTCATCAACATTGGCTGGATGGATTTCGCAGAGCTCTTTTTTCATCTGGAGAGATATAAAATCAAAATTAAGGAAGATACAATTAAAACAGTTTTAGATAGAATCACAACCAATCCCACATTAGAGTCAAATTTAAAATTATTAGAACACATCAAACAAAAATATATTTTCAGTAGCCATTTCAAAAACCCAACTACTCTTTATGAAGCACTTTTGGATCCAATGATTCCGCTCAGCGACAGTGATATCGAAAGTATCGAAAAGTTCAAGCATTTAGATAGGATAATATTTTTGTTCAAGAAGAGACTACTCACTGAAAACAAATCAATCAATAGCATCATCCAATATGAAAACGATTACCCAGATGGCACAAATGAAATCAAAGCACTAATAGCATATATGTTCATAATGAAATATAACGAGTCTACTAGTCAAGAAAGATTCAAGGAATTATTTATTGATACAAAATGGATACAAGATAGAAAAGTATCTCTTTCAATTATTGTGGCATTTTTTAATTTAAATAAATTATTCAAAAATCCAGATCGTTCAGTAAATCTTCAAAAATTTTATAATAATACCAGAAACTCCTTAAACCAATCAGTGCTTTTAAATGAAGGATATGTTTACGATAGATTTCTAAACATCGAAGTTAATGAATCACCTAAAGACGAATGGAGTTTCGAACATGTACCAAAAAATATTAAAAAAATACTATCGCAACAAGTAAAAGAGCTAAATCCAATTCCAATCCATCACTTTAACAGCTATAGAATTCAAATGGTAATCATTCAAGCATTCTTAAACGGTACATTTGGACATCTACCAGCCTATTTCGACTATATTGCAAGCTCTAAAATGGATTCAAATGATTTAGAAGGTCTCTTTATATTCCTTATTTTAAATAATAGTAATACCGATTTCTATAATAAAATACCAGACAAGTTTATTGAAAAAATTAAATTATTTTCAAAACCAACTCAGTTTCAATCATTATTTTTAGTTTATTATCACTTCAACAACAACAAAGAGTTTTATTCAAAAGGATTCTTCTCATTAACCAACATCAGTACCCAACTATTCTTGTTAGAAGCAATGGTACCCTTCCCAACCTTTAGGAGAAGAATTATAAAAGGTCTAACAACTTATAGCTTTAGTCAATTGGAGCTTGAAAAACTACTTTTATTTTTATCACTATTAAAAGATAAAACATTATTCATAGAATCAATTTACTCTGCTATAGAAAACTTAGACTATTTAAAATCAAAATCGATATTACAATCGAAACAGTTGTATCATGGAGTGGAAAATTCTATTTTCAAAATAAATGATAATAGAAACAAAAGTGTGGATAATAGTAATAAAACAACTATTTTAACTGATCAAAACCAATCTATAAAAGAAAATAAAAACGAATTATTTAAAGGTCAAATCAAAGAAAGAACCCCAGACCAAGAAGCCACATTACCAAATATTGGATATTTAGTTAAATTTAAAAAGATAGCAAATAAAAAAAGATCCTCTATTGAAGATATGGCCCAATTGGAAAGTTTGCTCTTTAAATTAAAAGAAGAGATGGTCGATTTTACATATTTAGAAAAGAAACTATTGCATTATATCTGCACTCCTTTAGGAAATAATATCAAGGCAAAGCTAAACATCAAAGAAGACCTCTTCCCAAAAGACCATATATTCAACTGCTTTGGTTCAAATGCCATTCAAAACTACTACAACTACATCGCAACCGATCCAAATATTAACAAATTAGATGGTGCCAATAGTAAAGAAAACTATTACACAAATAATGGTAATTTCTTTTTATATAATAACATTGGTGATAAAATATATGAATACACAACAAACTCATTTTACAACTTGGATAAAAAACAAATTAATGATCTTAATTTGATCAATATAATATTAGATTCTTTAAAATATAATAAAATAAAATAAAATATTTATTTTTTAGATTTATTGAACAAATATTATTATTTATTTGATTTTTTTTTAATATTCATCCTCTTTAATACATTTTTGAACTAAATCATAGATTTCTGGATTTTCCAATGCCGCTATAATTCTTTCTTTATCATTTATTTGTTTATTAATTTCTTCTTCTGTTTGATGTGATCCTGGTGTAATATAAATTTCTATCTGTAATAATAATATGGTATATTAGTAATTTATTTTTGATAATAATATTTTAAAATAACTAAATAATGGTTTGTGTATACTTTTGATCTTTTTGGTAAGTATTGATTAATTTTCTCTCTAATACATAATGCTATTGTTGGTGCCAGGTGGCAGTGGGGTACAGTAGGTGTAAAATATATTTTTATATAGCAACAATCCTTTTTATCGTTTATATTATCTTCAACCGTTATCCAATCTTCATTAACCACTTTTAGTTGCTCTAGTGTGTTTGGATATTCAGGATCTAATGTTTGGAGTTATTTTTAAAAAGTGTGTGTGGTTTAAAAATAAAATTTTATTAATAATGGATTTTATATTTAAAATAATTATAGTTATGTATAAAAAATAAATACTAACCTTTAATATGCCTTATTATGTCTATTTGTTTTTGAAAGGAATTATTGTTATTAATAGTATTGTTGTTATTATTTTTTTATTTTAAAAAAAGAAAATAAAGTATTTAATTTAAAAAGAAAAATGTTAGTGGAATGAATAGATTATTTATATGTAGTTAGAGTACTGTTACAATAATATAGTATACAATATAGTTGGTGTAGGGTAGGATAGATGGTGGTAAATAAAGAGTAGAGGGTGAAAGTAAAAAAATAAAAGGTGGTAAAAATAATTATTTTTGTGTGAATTTGTGTATGTGTGTGTTGTTAATTGTTGAAAAGTTAAAAAATAAAAAATAAAAAAAACAAACGGAACTGAAAATCTAATAAACAATGAGATATTATGATCTTACCAAAAACATCAATACTATCAATTATATTATTGTTATAATTTATCATATTATATATTGTGTAAATATTAATATATATTATTTTAAGTAGTGGTTGATGTAATACTTGTTATTGTATTTTTTGTTTGTTGTTCTTTTCTTTAAATTATCACATGCATTAATATATTTATATGGGGGAAGAATAAATGTCTTTTTAAAATTTAATTTAAAATTTCATTTTTTTTTTTTTTAATTAAAAAAAAAATAAAATAAAAAAAGAAAATAATTTAAAAAAAATAAAAGATAATATAACAATAAAGAAATAATAATTTGTTTTAATAATTATTCTTTTCAGAGATTTAAAAAGATATAAATATTAATATTTGAAAAACAATTATTTATATGAATAAAAATAAAATTTCAATTAGAACAAAGAATAACTCTCACACACACCCTAACATCTAAATATATATAAATAAATCACCCACACTCACACACACACCTATACAATAACTCTCACACACAAATTCACTTATATATATGTGTGTTGAAAAAGAAAAAAATAATTTAAAATTTTCCTATACAATTTGGATGACTTTTGATATACAGAATGATGTGTGAAATTTTGATGATAGTGGTAATAATAGGGAAAGAGAGCGAGTGTGTTGATGTTTTGGTGTATTGTGGGTATTTTTTTTTTTCTTTTATTTTTTGTGTTTTATATAAAAAAAAAAAAAATAATTGTATTATTTTAAAAATATTTTTTTTTGTTTCATTTTTGATTAATAAATTATACAAACTATTTAATAACAAATAAATAAAGTAATATCATATTATATATAAATAAAAATAGTTAATTTTAAATTTAATATAAACATCAAATCTTTTATATATTTATTAACTTGTGTGTGTGTATTTTTTTTTTTATATTTTTTTAATTTTATTTTAATAGTTATTCATTTTTTTTTTTAAAAAACAAACAGTCTAATAATAATTTAAAAATCCAAACCATAATTAATAATCAAATTTATAGGAACATATACATATTAATAATAATAGGGAAGATATTAATATATTAAATATATTTAATCAGAATAAAATAATAATTATAATAACCCAAACATATATATAGCAAATATATCAACCATCAACCAAATATCAATTAATAAAAGAATGAGTGTTAAAAATTATAATGATTTATGTGTAAAGATCTTTTTAATGGGCGATAAAGATGTTGGAAAGTGTTGTCTACTAAATTCATATTCAAGTGCTTCACCACTATCATTTAACAACTCTACATTCACATGGCCAAACTATACGATCACTACAACACATAACGAAAAGCCACTAAAACTTCGATTAGTTAGTAAGTATTTAACCACATCCGTAACCAACATTATTTATTTATTAACACATTTCATTTTTTTCTTTTTTTAGTTGGTGATGATAACGAATTAAAGCGTATTAAACAAATAGAATTCAATGATATATTTTTAATTTGCTTTGCAATTGATGACCCTATTTCATTTACAAATGTATTAAAGGTAAGTGAATCTTAGTAAATTATATTAGTATTTTCAAATTATTAATTTTTAAATTATTTTAATTTAGTGGAATATTGAAATTAAAAAAATATTACCAACACCAAATATAATTTTAGTAGGAACAAAATCAGATACAAGAAATGAACAAGGAGGCGCAACAAATTTAATCTCAATTGAACAAGGAATCGAAAAAGCAAAAGAAATCAATGCAACCAAATATTTAGAGTGTTCATCTGCAACCTATGATGGTGTCAAATCAATATTTGATGAAGGTATAAATATTTATTTCTCCAAAAAACTCTATGGTGCCGATTTAAGAAAAAAAAGTTTCCTTATTCCAAAAAAAAATTCAACTTCAAACAAAAGATCAAGTTGCAAAACTCAATAAAAAAAAAAAAAAACAAATAAAAAAACAAATAAAACGCATATAAACACCATTCAATCCAAATAAATACTCCGCTAGTTGTAACTATTGCTTGTCTATAAGAACCCCCCCCCACAACAACCTTTTTTTAATTAATAAAATTATATATTTAAAATCATTGACATTAAATAAAAAATTTATTTAAAAATCTATGTTATCTAAAAATATTATAGTACAATAATTTATTTATTTTATTTGTTTTTTCTTTATCTGTATTATCTGTATTCGTCGCCGCAATCTACCCATCCTAACATACAATCACCCTTAAGTGCAATTCTATCAATTTGTTTTATATCAGAGTCTTCTAATTTAAATGTAAACAAACGTTTATTTTCATCGATATGTTGATGAATACCAAATCTGCAACCTATAACAACGCCACCGACCATTTCTTGCTGTAAAACATATCTAATTGCTACAAGAGTCAAAGATACGGAATATTTCAAACCAATTGTTTTTAAAACTTCCAATAGCTCTTGAAACAAATTCCAATTTCCCCATCTGTTTATTGAATCTTTATATTTTGATAAACTCCATGTATTTAATGCTATTTGTGATGGCTCTGGTACCCCTAAAAACTTTTCAGATAACAATCCACCTAAACATACACCATATGCTAAAATATAAATATTATTCTCTCTACAATACTGTGTCATTCTACTCTTTGCTCTTCTATCAATAATTGAGTATGATACTTGTGATGATACAATATCTACACCGCTATCTACAATAATTTTTAATCTGGTAGTATCAAAATTTGTTAACTAGATATAAATAAAAAAATTAGTTTTTATTAAATAGTATCATTATTTTTTCCCTATACTTACACCAATGGAATCTATTAAACCTTCAGATTGTAATTGTTTTAATGACTGAACTGCATTTAAATATCTTTCATCATCATAGTCCCACCAATGAAATTGTAATAAATCAATGGAATTTGATTTTGTTCTAATTAATGATGAATGAATAAAAGTTCTAACATTTTCCAATGTCATGTTACCTGGTCTTGGGAACCACTTGGTAAAGCCAATAGCATGCTTTTTACTTTCTTCACTTTTCAATTGTGTTTTTAATTCTCCAAAAATATCCTCTGCTGGCCCATAATGATCTGCCATATCAAAACAATTGAATCCATGGTTTACATGATCTATCATCTAAATATTGAATGAATAAATAAATAAAAAATTAGTAAGTTTTAATTTTTATATATGATACCTTTTTTTATATCTATTTTTATAGTATTTACATCAGATAATGCATTTTTATAATTGACTTTACCATGTCCACCTGCCATTTGCCACATACCATTAATTATTTTAGGAAAAACAACACCATTTTTTAATGTTGTAGTTGGTGATATATTACCACTACTATTATTATTATTTAAAGTCATATTTGATTTTTTTAAAATATTGTTTAAATTAAAAAAATAAAAAAAATAATAAAAAAAAAAATGGTTTTTAATTTTAAAAATAAAAAAAATTATTATAAAAAAAAAAAAAAAAAAAAAAAAATTAATGGTTTGGGGGTAAAATTATTATAATTAAAATATGGAAATGTGGATTTATATATTTGGTTGCTATTTAAACCAAACAAATATATTGAAATTCTCAAAAAAAGAAATCAAATACCCAGATTGATAAATTCATTTTAATTTTGATTAAATTAATTATTAAATTTTTATTTTTAAAAAAATTTAAAAAAAATAAAAATAAAAATTTAAAAAAAAAAGAAAAAAATAAAATTTTTTTTTTTTTCGTTTTTTTTATTTAAAAGCTTTTTAAATAATTTTTTTTTTATTTTTTATCGTTTTTAATACAAATAAACTTTTTTTTATTTTTATTCTTTTTTTTAATATTCATATAATTTTGTTATTGTTTTTAAAAATATATAATATTTATATATATTAAATAAATAAAAAAATGGAAATTAAAAAAGATAAAAATGTATTAAATAAAGTAAATGGATTTATGGATAAGGTTTATGATACACCTGAAATTTTTGTTGGTTCAACAAACAAGGTTAAAGATTCAATGACTGATATCATGTCCAACCTTTACCAATTAGCCAAGAAGAACGAAACTATTGTTACAGAAACAGAGACAGATGCTTTAGAATCATTGGTTACAAAAGATTTCGATAGTGAACAAATTTGGGCACAAATTCAATTATACAATGATCCAGTTTTATCAGAATTAGAATCAAAAATCAATGGTTTTGTAAAATCAAAAGAAAATATAGAAATTTTAAGTCAATCAAATAAAAAGAGTAATAAAAGAAGTATTCAATATGATGAAGATTTAGAGGATGACTATCAAGACAGCGAATTAGATACCGACGAAGGTTTAGATGGTGAAGAAGATTTAGATGGTGATGAAGATTTAGAAGATGATGAAGATTTACAAGACGATGAAAATTTAGATGATGACGACGATGATTTACAAGATGATGAAGATTTAGAAGATGAAGATGAAGATGCTCAAGATTTAGAAGAGGAAGATAGTTTAGATGAAGGTATAGATTCAGATTCAACAAAATCATCAAAATCATCAAAATCATCAAAATCAACCAAATCAATAACTAAAAATAATAATAAAAAGAATAATAATAAAAATATAGACTTTTTTGATGCCAAAGAAATGGAAAAGTTTTTAGATGATGAAGATGATAATGAATATCAAAGAAGAGAAGATGAAGATAAAGATGATGAAGATGATTTCGAAGGTGATTCAGAAGAGGAAGACGGTGGTTTAGATTTACCAGATGCCGAATTAGATGATGAAGAAAGAGAATTAGATGCACTTTTAGATAAATATATGGAACAAAATGAAATGGAACAAGGAGAATCATCAAATAAAAAATCAAATAAAAAAAATAAAGCTAAAGATGTTGCAGATATGAAATTTGATGACTTTTTTGCTGACCCAGACGAACAAGATGAAGATAACGAAGATGACTTTGGTTTAGATCACGAAGACGAGGAAGAAGAATATCAAGATGATGAAGATGAAGAGCAAGATCAATTAAGTGCAGAAGAAGATGGTGAAGAAGTTGATGAAAAAGTTGAATCTGAACCAGAAGAAGCAACATTACCAGAGGAAGAATTATCAGCATTCCAAAAGAAAGCATCAAGAATTCAAGAAAGAATTAAAAAACTTGAACAAGAAAATTTAAAGAAAAAAGATTGGACCATGATTGGTGAAACCTCAGCAAAAGAACGTCCTTCAGACTCATTACTTGGTGAAAGCTTAGATTATGAACATACACAAAGAGCAGCCCCAAATGTTACCGAAGAAACCAATAAATCAATTGAAGATATAATTAAAAAGAGAATTTTAGAAAAGAATTTTGATGATGTAATTAGAAAAACAGAAAAAGAATTTAAAGACAATTATAAGAAAAAAGTAGAAATTAGCGATGAAAAGAGTCAAGAGGGTTTGGGTGATATTTATGAAAAAACTGTAAGTTTTATTTTATTTTTTTTATTTTTTTTTAATTGGATATTAATCATTTTTTTTTTTTTTTAAATTTTTTAGTATATGAAACAAGTTTTAGGTGTCGAAGAAACTGACGAATTAAAACAAAAACATATTAAAATTTTCGAATTATTTAATAAATTATGTTATAAATTAGATTCATTAACCAATTTCCAATATACACCAAAGATGATCAAAAACAAAGAGCTCAATATTACTACAGCAAGTGCAGTTACTATGGAAGAAAAAGTACCAGTTGCAACAAGTACCTCAACTATGATTGCACCAGAAGAAGTATACTTTAAAAAGAATGCAGATGAAAAAGGTGATAGCGAAAAGACTAAAGAAGATCGTGTTAAAGAAAGAAAACAAATTAAAAAGACCTGGAAAAATGAAAAAGAAGAAAAAGAAGCTGAAGAAAGACACAAAGAAAAGGTTGATCCAAACTATGCTAAAAGAAATACTGTTGCTAAAGATATTGCTCATCTTAAACAAGCTAAAAATGTTACCATTGTCGATACCTCCAAATCACAAGTTAAATCTGGTGATACAAGATCAGGTGCATTTTTCAAAACTATTCAAACCAGTGAAGAAAATAGAAAGAAAGGTATTGAGGATCCAAATTCATTAAAATCAAAAAAGAAACAAAAATTTGATGCTCTTTCTTTCAAAACAATTTAAGTTTTAAATAAAAAAAAACAAATAAATTTAAAAAAAATTTAAAAAAAAAAAAAAAAAAAAAAAAGTTTTGTTTATATATTTTTAAAAATAAAATATAGTTTTATAAATACTAACTTTTTTTTTATTAAATAATATTTGAAAAAAAAAAAGTAATAGAAATAAAACTTTTGAAAAAATGGGTGTGATAAAAAAAATTTTTTTTAAAAAAATCATATCACAGGAGATTTTAGTTAATTAAAATATAAGTTAAAAATAAATTAGATTTTTAACAATATATTTTTTTTTTTTATTCATGGTTGTTATTTTTAAAACTAAGAATGTCAGTAATCAATTAAAAATATATTCGAATTAATATTATTTATATTAATATAAAAAAATCAATAAAACTAAAATTATAGACCCCATTATATTTTTAACTTTTTTTTTTTTTATTTATTTTAAAAAATTGAAAAAATGGGGTGTGGTTACACCACATTCTATTAAATTAAACAAAAGTTTTCATCAAAAATCTTTTTCTTTTTTAAAAGCCACAATTACATACACACTTTTGAACACTCTGTGCATGCATCAAATACCTCATATTTTTAAACTCATTTTTTTATTTATATGTAAGTAATATCCATAGAATGTGATATCGATCGATATTAAACACTTTTAATCTTTTATAATAAATAAAAAACAATTAATATAATAATTAAAAATATATTAAAAAATAATAAAAAAAAATATATTGAAATTAAAATAAAAAAAAACATCAGTGTTATTTTAAGGTTTGACTTTTAAATTTTGTAAATTGACTTTTTTTAGGTTGTTTTTATTTCAGTTCTTATATTTTTTTAATTTATGATTGTTTTTTTCAATCTTTCAAAACTTTTCTCTTTCTTTTAAAAGTTTTTGTTTTATAATAAATAGAAATAAGATATAAAATTCTCATAATATTTATAATTAGCCCTTTTAAAAGTATTTTTTTTTTTTTTTGAATCATGTTGTTATAAAAATAAAAAGAAAAAAAACCCCCCCCTAAATTCTATTATTAAATCCCCATATTATTATAATTTTGAAAATTCAAATATTATGAGCTTTTTCTTTTCTTTTCTTTCTTAAATTATTTTTTTTTTTTTTTTTTTTTTTTTTTATAATTTTTTTTTTTTTAAATTTTTATTTTTTTTATTTTAAAAAAAGTTATTGAAAAAAAAACGAAAACTGAGTTTTTAGTATGTGCTTCTAATATTAAATCACACACAATGATTTTGATTATCTTTGCAATCCTATCAAATCATTTCCATTTTCATTAAAAATATTTTACGTGAGAAAAAAAATAAAATTATAAAACTGAAAAACCCACACAAGCCTAAAAAAAAAAAAAATTTCAAATTTTAAAAAGAGACACTCTAAATGATTATGTGGGTCACACTAAAACTATTATTAGATTGAATTTGATGATGTTTCTCAAAAATTAAATAAAATTATAAACACACATATTAAAATTATCAAATCACTATCATTATCATTATCATAATAATAAAAATATAAAATATTGAAAAAAAAACAAAAATTGAAAAAACCCTTATCACATTAAATACCGTCATTGAGAACTAAAAAAACTTTTAATCTCTTGTTATTTAAAAAAATCACTAAAAATATTATCATCAAAATAAAATGTGTGAGAGTGAGTTTTTGGATGTGGTGTTTTAAAAATGATTGTCTTTTAATCATAAAATAACAAAAATAAAAAAAAATAATCAAAAAATACATCACACGGGTGTCCTTCACATACACACAATAATCAATTCAACTTTTTATTTTTATTATTATTATTATTATTTTTTATTTTTATTTTTTTATTTTTTTTATTTTTTATATTTTATTTCATTATTTAAATAAAAAAAATTATTTTAATCATTTTATTAAAAATATTTTTAAACAAAATCATCACATATCACTAGAAATTTATTTTAAATCATTAAATAAATATATTCATAAAATTTGTTGAAAATTCAAAATTTGTAAGTTTTCATAAAAATTTTTAATTTTTTTTTTTTTAGTTTTAGTTTATAATAATTTATTTTTGAAAATTACTTCAAACTAAATAGAAAAAAAAAAAAAAAGTATAAATATTTATTTTTTTTCTCTTATTTTCCTTTTTTCTTTTTTTGTAAAACAAAGAAATAATACTTATAAAAAGAAATTTACACTTTTTAATAAAATGTATATATACAATTTTTAATAATAAAAATAATAATAATAATAATAATAATTTAGTAATGTTTTAAAACTCAAACCTTTAATTTTACCTTTTACCTTTTATATTTTATATTTTTGTTTTTTTCTTCTAAATTCAATTTATAAACACCTGCACCATTTCTTGCAATGTCTTATAAAAATTAAGAATTAATATATTTATAATTCTTAAAAGTTTTTCATTAATTTATTTTCAAATAAAATTTTTTGTTGTAAAGTCGATTTTTCTGCCCAATCAATTTTTTGCAAAAATAGATTTTATTTTAATTTTAAAAATAATTTTTTTTTTTTTTTGTTTTATTTTTAAAAAATTGAAAAAAAAAAAAAGAAAATTGAAAGGGAGATTAAATTAAACAACAATAAATCTTTTAATTAATTAATTAAACTTTAATTTGTAATCGTTCTTAATTTGTATGTAGTTGCAGTTTTTTTTTTTTTTTTTTATATTGTTATATTTTCAAGTTATAAATACAAATAAACAAATATAAATAAATAATAAAATAATTCAAATAAAAAAAAAAAATTATATGTTGCAATGATATAAATAGTTTAAATCAAATAAATGTAATAATAAAAACTTCAACTCTCTCATTCTTTCTCCCTCTCTACCACCATATCTTTTATTTTATTCTAAATAATATATTAATCTTTTTGGTGTGATTAATATGTTGTTATTTGTTTTTTTTTTCCATTTTTAATAAAAACAAAATAGCTTGCATGCTCACGCTTAAATTAAAAATAAACACACACATACATTTTTCACACATAAATTAAAAATACAAACAAACATACATACATACACACACAAACTCACACACACAAAAAAAAAACAACACACAAACACACCCATATTTTTTTTTTTTTTTTATTATAAACTGTTTTTTGTGGATCTCTTTTAACATAATAATAACAATCAATTATATCTTTTTCTTTTTATAAGAATGAAGAACATCATGGTAAAAATAGATTAAACCAACTCAAATGTCGATTTGATAATCTAAAATTATAATTGTTTTTATTTTTATTTTTTTATTTTTTTTTTAAATTTTAAAATTTTTATTTAAATTAATATTTAAATTTAAATTAATTTTAAATACATAAACAATTTTTTATATACGCACTCATACAAATATATAAAGTTAAACAAACATATTTTCATAAATTAAAGTACATAAAAATTATTTTAAAATAGTTTTTATTAATCATTATCCTCTTTTAGTTTTAAATAAATAATTATGTATATTTAAAAACAAAAAAATTAATCTCATATATATATTTATTTATTTTACATTGTATTTTATTTATTTATTTAACATCAAATAAAGGTAAAATTATTCTATAAAATAATAATATTTATTCCACAGATATCACACAAACACACATTAAATAAAAATATTTTAAAAAAAGAGATACAACAACAAATAAATTACCCACACAAATAAACACACACTCTATCATTAACACTAATAATAAAAAAATAAGAATTTTATATACCATGATATCACACACTCAAACACACAGTTAAATAAAATTTATCTTATTTTAAAAAATAATCAATGATTATTTTTGAAAAGTTAAAAACATTTAATTGTTGTTGCTTTTGTTGTAGTTGTTTTTTTAATAATTATTATATCATACACCATTTATATTTTAAAAAATATAATAAAATTATTTACTAACTTTTTAATATTCTCTTTAATAGTTATTTATTTATTTTATTTATTTATTTATTTATTTATTTATTTATTTATTTAAAAAAAAAATATTTTAAAATTTTTTTTTTATTTAACATACCAATTACAAATTAAAATTTAAAATTACAAAATTTTTTTATCATTATTATCATTCCAATTAAAATAATAATAATAATACTATATACTATAAAACTAAAAAATGAATCAAAAAGAATCATCAACATCAACATCATCACAATCATCAACTGTGATTTACCAAAAAATATTTAAAAAGATCTATGAAAGCAAAGTTGGTGTAAATAAAACCTCATGGGAATACTTTACATTAGGTCTCAGTGTTTACAAATGGTTAACAGATAATGATCCAGTATACACCAGAACCCTTGTTGTAGATGAAGTTTTAGAGGCCATTTATGAAATTTTTGATATTATTATCTCTATATTAGAAATGCTCAAAGCCAGTAGTTCATTGCTTGCCCCAATTGTTTATTACTCTAATTTATTTGTTAAAAGAGCCGGTATCAAACACAATCAATTATTTAATTTACTTTTAACTAGCACCATTGTTACCTTAAAGTTTTGGTCAGAATCCATTCAAATTAGAAATATATTGTTAGCTGAAATTTTCGAATTCCCTGTTAAAGATATCAATATTATGGAAAAACGTTTTTTAAGTGGTATTGATTATAATTTAAATATAACTCAAATGGAAATCAATAACTTTTTATCAATATATAGCAGCTCATACCATATGAAATTCCAAAAAGTTAAAGATCAACAAAAATATTTAACCCAATATATAACATCAAATACTGCTTGTGAATCTGCTCATCAACCTTAAAAATATATCTTTTTTTTTATATATAATACACCATATAATAGACATCATATAATCATATAATATTTTTTTCATATATAATTATAAATCAAAAATAATTATTTTTATTATTTAATATAATAATAGTAATAATTTTAAAAAAAAGTTCAAAAACTTTAAAGAATTTTTAAAGTTTCCCATATAATAATCCAATTAATAAAACATTGTAAATTTATGTACATTATTTAATAATTAAATTAGAAATTTTTTTTTTTTTTTTTTTATATAAAATAACTATAATATTTTTAATATAATCTTTATTAATATTTTTTTGGGAAAAATCTTGAATAGTGATAACATAATTCTTTTATGTGATTGTGAAAAATTGATTTTAAAGTTAAAGAGTAAGGTGTTGCATCGTAACTAAAGTCTCTTTGTAGTTTTTTAGAATCAGGGTTTAGTTGATATTGGGATTGCTCTGGTTTATAATCTTTAATAAAATTCCAAATGCTTGTTAGAATATATGATATCTCCTCTGATTTGATTATATCGAATAGTTCTAAGCTAAGGTTCAATGGGTGAACAATGAATTGAGAGTTGATTAAAATTTGGACCAATTGTATTGTGCTTAGGTAATGATTTGATTTTAGTGGGTTGTCGCCATAGTTCTTATATTGATACCAGTATGATATTTCATTAACTAAAAGACTTTTGAGAACTTCTAAGCATCTAACCAATTGTCTTGCATCGGTTGAAATAATTTCTAAAATTCTGTAGAGGAATGGATTTTGTTGGAATAAATTTCTAATATAAATATCTCTTTCGAAATTTGATTGTTTGGGTAGTATCTCTTGATAATTTTCGTAGGTTGGTTCTAAATGGTTTGGAACAACTCTTAAAAGAAATTGGTCAGTTAAAATCTTTAGTTTACATTCTCTTTGATCACTTGATGAAGGCCCAGTTACATTTAGTAGTTGATTAATAAACGACATTAAATCATTTTCATTATTTAATAAAATGAAATTTAATGATTGGAATGAATTGATAAAAACATCGCTACTGGAAGTTGAATTTGAGGTTGCTGGTGAAATTTCTTTATTATTTTCAGTACCATCCATATTTGTATCATTTTGAGCTCTATCATTAAATAGTTCATTTGCACTATCTAATTTCTTTTTCTTTGAAGGTTGGTTTGTGAATGAAATGTGACTTGGATTATTCATATCGTTAAATTTATAGTGGTAATATTTTCTTTCATAGTTGCTTTCAAATAAAGTTGGTTGTAAACTTGAAATTACTAATGGTTGCGAAAGTGGTAGTGATGGGTCTATAATTTGATTAAAATAAATATCCTCTTCTTCTTCCTCCTCATGTCTAATTTTATTCTTTTTTTTATTTATTATATTATTATTTATTATATTCATATTATTATTTTCATCATTATTATTTATATCTGGTGGTGAGTTATCAGGAAAGGTTGGAGGAGGAATAGTATTGGCAGATGATAATGGACAAAGGGCTGGAACTTTAATAATCATATCTGTTTTTGTTGAAAATAAATTATCTAAAACTACATCTATGGTAATAGTAAAATAAAATGATTCCTCACATAATAATAAATCTAAAAAAAGCCCAAAATTAATATTAGCTTTAAAATTTAATCATAAATAAACCTATACATACAAAAATTTTTATATTCTTCAAATTTCTTTAGTCTTTTGAGTTCTTTATCGTGGGTATTGTTATGTTGAAGATTTCTTAAATTTTTGATAATAAAGAAGAGTATTTTTTCAATCAATATCCTAGTTTCAAATATTTGGTCAGATTTATTATGGTTTTTATTTTTCTTCTCTACCTGTTGTTTTGGTGATGGTATTTGGTACTCTGTATTTTTGTATATATTATTAAATGAGTGATATAAAATTTCTAAGGGTATATTTTTATGGGAATATATTGTATTTGGGTGATTAATTAAATTTAATAATTTTGACCAATTATTTCTTGTTGATTTTAAAATTTTTTTATGAATTTTTAATAAAATTAGATTATGATTTTGATTACCATTGGTATGATTGTTTATGGTTGTTGTGATTGGTGATTTTTTAACTAATATTAATAAGTTATTTAATAATAATAATAAATCAGATTCAATATAGGAATCTATTGATTTAAAAATATCATTTATAAAATAATTTATAGTATTTGAATTTACTGCCTGAAAAGTTTCTGCAAATAAATAAAAATATTCGATTGGTGATTTTAGTTCTGTTAATAAGTATGTTAAAATGACTATGGATGATTTAATTGAGTTTACACCAATTACTGAAATTAATTTTAATAGTAAATTATTTTTTTTAATTGATTCTGGTTTTAATGTTGAGGAGGAAGAGGGGTCAATAAATTCTATTTGATTTAAATAAAAAGTAATATTTTGGGGATGATTTAAATTATTAATAAATTCATTATAAAAATTGTCATTATTATTATTATTTAATTCTAAATTAATTGAAGGTGAATATGATTTTAAAACTAGTTGTTTTTCTAATTTTTCGATTAATAATTCAAATAATTTTATTGAAATTTCAAATCTTTTTTTATTTGGCGCAATTGTTTTAATTGAGGGGTTTGATGAAATTTTTGGGCTATAACAACTGAAATATAATGCTAATAAAATTCTTTTGGAGTTGAATGCTATAATTTCATTTGGACTAAGTAATATATCTTCAATGATTGTTTTTATTATTTTTAAATCTTCTTCTATTTGACTATTATTACTAAAATTAATATCATTATTACTATTATTGGTGTTAATATTTTTACTATTATTATCAAAATCTTCGATGCTGAATGATGTTAAGTTATCTAATATGGAAGGTAGTGCAATTTTTAAAAAGCTATTATCTTTGGAAATCAATATTAAAAACAATTTAATGTTATGGATGAATTTTTGAGAGTTATTGGTTTCTTTATGATCTTTAATTATTTTATCAATATGTTGTTGGAATAATATGGTGGATAAAAATGAACTTGATTGGAATGATAAAAATTCTAAGATTTGGAGACAGTTGATATCAATATCATTGTCAATGGGGTATTATTATTATTA